TACTATAGACTTGTCCACCAGTTAGGTGTACGTAAACAGTCTAAAAGAAATAATTCTTTATAAAGCTAAAAAAAAAAAACTCCGTAAATTTTTTTAAATGGAGAATTCAGGGAGGCACAGACCTTTAAGCTCTAATCTGATCAAGATTTCTCTCTTGAGGCTTTAAGTGAACAAACAAAATTTCTAGGTTAATACTATCTAGAAAAAAATAAAGATTTATGGTAGCAATTGACAGGCTTTACTATAGACTTGTCCACCAGTTAGGTGTACGTAAATGCATACATGTCAAGTTGTATGGATTGTCCGTAATTTATATGGATTTTCTGTCATTTTGCAGGTACATGGACATATAGAGAAAACTCATGGAGTTTTTCATGTTTTACGTATTTTTTCAAAACCTCAGATTCAAATTTACATAACATGTCAAAGCCTGTAGGACATTAAATAAACAATAAATAACATCAGATAACCATCTTACAACACACTCTGCTGCTAGAAATAAGTTTTCCCATCCTCATGTCCTCCTGCTTTGCTGCAGCCAGGCACTGTCATCTCCCACATTCTGGTACAGCTACAGTCATATGAACAAGTTTGGGCACCCTTGTTAATTTTCCTGATTTATCTTTATAAATCATTGATTGTTTGTTTGGATAAAAAAATCAGTTAAATATATCATATAGGGGGCAAACACAGTGATGTTTGAGAAGTGAAGTGAAGTTTGTATCATTTACAGAAAGTGTGCAATAATTGGTTAAACAAAATTGGGCAGATGCATAAATTTGGGCACAAAAAAACCCCTTAACTCAATATTTAGTAGATCCTCCTTTCACAGAAAAAACATTCTCTAAACACTTCCTACAGCTTCTAATGAGAGTCTGGATTGTGGCTGAAGGTATTTTAGACCATTCTTCTTTACAAAACATCTCTAGTTCATTCAGGTTTGATGGTTTCCAACCACAGACAGCTCTCTTTAAATGACACCACAGATTTTCAATAATATTAAGATCTGGGGACTGAGATGGCCATTCCAGAACGTTGTACTTGTTTCTCTGCATGAATGCCTTAGTAGATTTTGAGCAGTGTTTAGGGTCGTTGTCTTGTTGGAAGATCCAGCCCTGGCGCAGCTTCAGCTTTTGTCACTGATTCCTGGACATTTGTCTCCAGAATCTGCTGATATTGGTTGGAATCCATGCGTCTCTCAACTTTAACAAGRTTCCCAGTCCCTGTACTGGCCACACAGCCCCACAGCATGATGGAACCACCACCAAATTTCACTGTAGGTAGCAGGTGTTTTTCTTGGAGTGYTGTATTCTTTTTCTTCTATGCATAACAGCCCTTGTTCTGCCCAAATAACTGTTTTAGTTTCATCAGTCCACAGCAGCTTATTCCAAAACGAAGCTGGCTTGTCCAGATGTGCTTTAGCATACCTCAAGCAGCTCTGTTTGTGATGTGGGYGGAGAAAAGGCTTCCTCTGCATAGGGTTGGGCATAATCGTATCGTGTGCAATTAATAGTCAGAAGAACATTAATCGATTAATTTTTGGCACTTGACGATTAATACGATTAATGCCACCAGGGGAGAATTCTCCAGTCAATCCGCTCAGTGCTCCTCTCCGCTTCAAATATGACGAACATTAAAAAAAAGGTTCTGTAATTTATTTATTTATCAACACAATTTTAAAATTTATGTATAGACTGAAGTCTGTAATTTTGACACAAATTGGAGCAGATTTTTAAGAAGAGCAATCTTTCCCACTAAATGGGTCATGTGACTAGGACATAAGGGTGTCCAGGGACTCCAGGGCATTAATCGTCAAATTAATCRTTATTGGCTAAATACCCCAATTAATCGTGATTAATTTTTTTGCCAATATTGCCCAACCCTACCTCTGCATCACTCTCCCATACAGCATTTCCTTGTGTAAAGTGTGCTGAATAGTTGAAAGATGCACAGTGACTCCATCAGCAGCAAGATGATGGTGTAGGTCTTTGGTGCTGGTCTGTGGGTTGACTCTGACTGTTCTCAACATCCTTCGCTTCTGTTTATTGGAGATTTGTCTTGGTGTTTCTCACAGTAGAGACTGAAAGCTGAAATCTCTGAGATAGCTTTCTGTATCCTTCCCCTAAACCATGATGGGGAACAATCTTTGTTTTCAGCTCATTTGA